ACACTTATTATTATTTTTTTTTAAAAAAAATGTAAATTTATTTCATACAAATAATCATATACAATTTAAATACTAAAATTTTTATTTTACAAATTGTTTCATAGGACTGCATTGGAGAAGATGAAGTTTCATCACCTTTAAATCTCTCAAATGTAAAGAGAAGGTCGACAACACTTCTAATGCAAAGCAAAGGTGGACGAGCAAATGATGAAATGAAGGATAATTTGATGAAGAATAGATTTGCTAAGATATTATTGGTTTACTAAAGTATTTTATTATAATATTAGGATTTCATTTGCTTTGAATACTTTCATTGAATAAATTGGCTTCGCCAACATGAATAATTTAAGGTTTAATATTGGAGTTCAGTTTGTTTGATTTTATATTTGGATATTATTGGTTATTAATGATATTGATTTTTATGGCTAATGTTAATTGTACCACATTTTTATGTATCTAATTATATTAATGTTCAATACATAACACTGGTAATCGAAATAAATAAAATTATAAATAAAAACACTTGAAATTCGTTTTTTCTTTTTTTTTTTAAATTTTTTTTTAATTAATATAGATGTTAAAAGCTAAGTAAATTATAACAAACATTCATCACTTTATTTTTTTAAATAAAACAAAATCAAACCTATACCATTGAACAAAGGAATTAATTTAATACATTTTTTTGTCTTCCAAGGTTTAAGTTAATAATATAACCACGTAGAACTAACTGTATGATTTTGTAATAATTAAAATTTCTGAACAACAAATACAGTGTATAAAATAATTATTTAGAAATTAATTGTAAATATTAAAGCCCCATACGAAAAAAAATAACAATATTTCCTTATGTTTTAATTTTTTTCATGGAAGAGTTGATTATGAAACGTAATAATGGAATAAATAATATCAACACCTCACATTACTCAAGTAATTGTAAAAAATAACATTCAAGTAAATAATCTATACATAATAAAAAGAGCAGTTGGGGTACATAACTCTAGCATTATAAAAATTAAAAAAAATAAAATAATTATTTAAAATTTTAAAACATAACATAATTTAAAACGTTTTTTATCATCAAAATGGTCCCCTGTATGGTTTCTTACGCCACGACTATAAAAAAGAGACAAGGACAATCTTTATCTCATGTTGGCTTATTTCTTAAGAAACCAGTGTTCAGTCATGACCAGTTACTAGTATTCGACCTGTGCATTTGCACAGATATATAAATAAAGTATTGAGAGTTATTTGTATGCATAATTTAGGGGTGAGCATGGGTCGGTACGGTTCGGAGATTGATAAATCTCCAGAACCGTACCGAAGTTCGGAGATCACTAAAATTCAATCTCCAGAACCATACCAAAAAATCGGTTCGGTCCGGTTCGGAGATTTTTATTTTTCGGTACAGTTCGGTTCGGTTTTCGGGACTATCGGAACGGTTCGGTTCGGTTTGGTTCGGTTCGGATATTTAGAGATTTCTTATCATTTTTTAATTTTTTTTGAATGACCACCTAGTTATATTTTATTTTTTATATGTTTTATTTTTAAAAAATCCAACATTCATCAATACTTCATCATACTAAAGATTTTATTTTTAAATCAACTTTAGAAGTAACCCTAACTTTTAGTTAAGACTAAATTCAACTAACATTAAAAATTTAAAATCAAATAAAATATAATACAATTTTATATTAAAATAATATTTATTTAACCGTCCCTAACATGTTAGTTATAAGATAAACTAAAGCTAAGTATCGACAACTTTAAGTAAAGCTTAAATATTTTTTTTAAATCTTTAACCTTTCATTCCATATTATTTCTTTTTAAATATGAGAAATTCAATTATAGATCAAGTATTACTAAACATGAAATGTAAGTGAATCTTAATTGTTATTACTATATTTTATTTGCATTTTCTGTATTTTCAAATTATATAGTATCAAAGTTGACATATAATATATTAATAATACGCATCTATTTTAATAATTCGGTTCTTAATTTCGGTTCTTCGGTTCGGTACGGTACGGGACGGTTCGGTTCGGTTCTCGGTACGGATATTTAAGAAATCTCCAGAACCGTACCAATTATTTCTTCGGTTCGGTTCGGTTCGGAGAAAGTCAAATGGTCAACGGATATTTTTCGGTTCGGAGTGATTTCGGTTCGGTTTTCGGAACGGTTCAGAATTCTCCGAGTCCCATGCTCAGCCCTACTCCACACATCTCTTCTCTCTCTCTTTCTCTCATCTCTCTCTAATCTCTTATCTTTCTTTCTCTCAATTTTTTTATTAAAAGCTCGATTTATATATTTACATAAAAAAA